AGCTCCAAGTATGAACGCGTTCAAGAACAGACTAGATAAAGCTATGGAAAAATATATGTTCAGATTTGAAATGCCTAGCTCCTTATCGAACCCGGTGGAAGTCTAGTAGCTTCTTCAAACTATCGCCAGTCATGAAAAGATCCGGTCAAATGACACGAGTTTAGATCTATGAACAAGGCACGAAATGGAAAAGAATCCGCGACAGGCCACATCAGGCCTACACTTCAGAGCCGACATCACTATGTTATGTTATGTTATGTTATTAGAAAATTTGAAGGTAGAAGCTATCTTGGGAGCTCCAATCTACGGTCTTTGGAGCTTAAAGTTGTGCCTATTCCCTCGTATGGCGATCAGATCTTATACACCCTGATTTAAATGTTAATATTCAATTAGATTTAGGATATATTGGTACTTGATATGTTGTATATTTGTCGTAACATTTATATTTGATTGAAAGAAATGCATGCGTGTTCGAGTTACACGGTATTGTTAACTTGTGTGTTGTGGCCGCACGGCCATGAATATTTGAATAGATTTTTACCATGTCGGCTCGCAATTCTATTATGTCAAGAGAACTCAACCTTCATCAAAATTACCACGTATAATTAATTCCTGAATGAACATTCAGAAAACCGTATTGACTGAAGTAGATAAGATAGATTTTAAACAAAGGTGCATAAATGTCACTTACCTCGGTCTTCAAGACGCGATCGAGCCTCGAAGTTTTCAGCTGCCGAGTGATAAAAAAAATCTGGATCTCGATCGCACGGATCTGGTTATAGGATCAATGGGAGGAGGGGCAGTGGGAGAAGCTCTGAAATCAAAGGAATCTTCAAGTTCTGTCCGTGACATCCCTAAAACATCGCCGACCTTCTTAGCTCGGTCGGAAGCTATAGAGCGTTTCTCGGCTTGGTTCGGTCTCAAGAAACAGGAGCCATCGCGTCAACCAAGGACATAGAAGCAATATTATAAAATAGAATAAACCGAGAGAAATGTTCAACCTATACAAATTTGTTTATTATGAATCAGTTTTGTTCCTATAAAGATTTGTTTAGGCTGGTACACATATGCTCAGAGATCATCAGATTTGTTTCAGTAATAGAAATTGATAGAAAATCAAGTTGTTGAAACGTGATTTAATCCCAACCTAGACAGCGATTAAGGTTCTTCCCAGTGCAAGGCTATGAGTAATAAGATTTGAATAAGTATGGAAAAGTTTTTGAAATCTAAATCATGTTCCGTCCGTTTTCGAAACTTTCAAGAATCTAATGTAAATTTTCAATGGGAGATTTCTAACGCATGTCTTCCGGCGACGAAGATTAGGCAAATTTCATCCGGATTCAAACCGTACTAGGAAGTATTTCGGACGATGTGTTAGAAATTCAGATTCTTATTAAGCTTCAATGTGAGCCATTATATCATCCAATTCTTTTTATAAAAAGAAATTCATACAGGAATTTAGTGTAACGTAATAATAGAAGAAGAAGAGCGAACAACATAATATCTTCCAGTATTTATAAATGCGGTGTAAAATGCATTGGAAGGTAATGACATGTCAATTTTGGCCAAATTACTGGAACTTTATCTATCTCTAAAACTGTAGTATCAAAGCTTGGTTCAAATTACCTAAAACTTTAGTCCATCTATTTATTGTATTTACGAATAACGACATTCAAGATGTGTTAGGCAATTGGTGAAAGTAATGCAATAATTGTAATAATGGCCATCTCAAACTACCAATTATCAAATGATCAAACTATGTTGATTAAAAGCGCTAAATGGTTGAGGATTGCAATGGACCGAAAAATTATATCTGAAGCGTCGCAGCTTGAGATTATTTATTTGCGTTAAATCAATATATTCTTTTCTTGTTCATCCACTTTCTTTTCGTGTACAATTCTCATTTTTTGAAACCTTGTTTTATAAATATCATATTTAAATTTCATATTGTGTTCCAACTGTATCTCATGTACGATGCATGCAACTAAAACTTGCCGAGTCTCAATTTCAACGACCCAGCAGGTTAAATAAAGTTCACAAAAACCAATCGGTTGAATTGATTTTATGGTCGAATTACATTGTATTTTTTGGCAAAGGCATTCCTTGTGTGGCTATTTACTCTATATTTCTTTCAATAAACATTGCATTACTTTATTCTATATTGCAGCATTCGACGAGAATATTTGTTTGCAGGAGCGTTCCACATTGGTGAAAAAAATTCAACAAGACACTGTGTGTAGAAAATTATTCTTTTAAATGCTGCATAGCACAAAAAATATTGCAAGATTTGAACACGCATAAGAAAATTTCCTGTATAAAATTTTTGATATACGAGATGTCTTTCGGAAACAATGTCAAATTTTCTGGAATTTCTTTTAGTCTCGTAGAATTAGTAGTATAATAGTCATTTCGCCTTACAATCTACCAAAGTGAAAGCAATAAATTCATTGCTTAGTAGAATTAAAACATTTCGCTACATTGCAACTTTGGGTCGTGTAGAATTTAATAAAAAGTTTAACTAACTGTCTTTGTTTGTGTGGAATTAAATTAAGTAATATCAAGGACTACTACACACAGGACATGCATAGCCTATGTCCAGCCTCTGCTAGCAGAGGCGATCGCCTACACTATGAAAATGCTGTTGTTTTAGTGGCATCAACAAATGATATGCCCATAATTGTTTCATACAATAGTATTACAATGTGTGTAGTAGTCCTTGTGGACTACTACACACATTGTAATACTATTGTATGAAACAATTATGGGCATATCATTTGTTGATGCCACTAAAACACCAGCATTTTCATAGTGTAGGCGATCGCCTCTGCTAGCAGAGGCTGGACATAGGCTATGCATGTCCTGTGTGTAGTAGTCCTTGAGTAATATATAATTTTTTAACTAATATATTATGAATAAATTAATTAATTTTCATCGAACAGAACGACAAAATTGGCGTTTTTATTAATATTTTGTGTCTGAATCATATGCAAAATTGAAGGCTGGCCGCTAATTTTGATTCCATTGGAATCTAAAAAAATTATACAGCAGCGCCATTTTTGTATTCGACTGTAAATTCTTTGAGAGGTTCAATGCGCTCGAAATTTATTTTTAATCCGGTATTTCATCACTTTTCTGTATCTCTTCGATGTCTCGTGTTTACGCAAGTTATTGCTGGAAATTTGAGCAATTATTGTCGCCGTGAATTTTCGGCAAAGTTTGCATCGCATTTCTTTTCGCAAAATTTCTACGTACCTATATAAGATTTTTTATTTTTTTTTTATTTTTTTTTTGTTAAAATTGGATTAATAGGACGATGCAGGATATGCGAATCGAACTCTAAATCTCAGTTCAATTAATAAATTTGTCGCGCTTAGTTTCGTGACTAATAGTTCTAAATACAGTATTAATTATTATACCGGGATCGTTCATCTGAAGTTAAGAACTTTTACGAAAGCTGAAATTTAATACTTCTATGAATTTTTAACTTCAATATTCCTCTATGAATTTTAAACTTTTATTCATCTACGAAATTTGAATTTTAATTCATTTACGAATCATGATTCTTCTGCGAATGTTGAACTTTTGCCAAGAAAAAACTATATCCAGAGGGTTTTATTGCTTCAAGAATAAAAAAAAAATTAGATCGGTGGAATTATTACTTGTTTCGAAATTCATAGGCTGAATGGGAAGGGAGAGAAATTATCCTTATATCCTTGATCAAAAGGGCGCAACAATTCCTAATTAAATTCCGCTCTAATTAACATTGAATAGAGATCAGATTTAAACTGAATCTAAAATGCCCCAATTTTTGGTACTGCATCGATTCATAATTCATTATTGAGAAAATTAATTGGAGAAAAATTAATTAACATGCAGCAGCCAAATGATATTAATACCTTGAAATTAGCAGAAGATTTTGTTTTGTCGCATTGGTGGTTGTAAACAACAGATGTGATCTCCATAATCAGGCGTCGCTAATCAGCGGGGCGCTTAAAAATTTAGCCAGAGCCGGAAGCGTTTCAAATGATTCACGACATTCAGCAAGTTTAAAATAAAAGTAAATCATCCCGTGCATACTGTCAAATGAAAATATAGAACAAACTAGATGGAAAAACTAATAAATAAATAATGAATAAACTAATAATAAAAACAAATATTGGAGCTCTGCCATATTATAACTAACCTTCCGAAAATAACGATATGCTTTTTATTTCATAAGTAAAAAAATTCCTATGATTAACAATTTTAAAGCATATATTTTTATTTTCCTCTGAGAAAATAGTGAGGGTATATGATTTTGTCTTCTATGTTAAAGTCGCAAGATGAAACTCTGGAACCATTGATGCAAACTTCAGCAGCGACTGTAAACAGCTGAGATAGAAACTCATTTATAAATGGGTATTTATCGAGTTAATTCAGAGTTGGCAATATTTAAAATCGTAGAAGCAAGGAGTCTCTAAGAAATGTACTTTCTTCAATAATATTCCTATGTGAGAATTGTTACGGCAACGCATTTTAACTTCATTGTCTCTCTACCGCTGGGTCACAAGAAAATTTTGATGTATAGATCCCTCGAGGGGGAGGGTGAAGAGAAAAATTAAAATTGTTGGAAGAATAGCAATAATTATTTTGGGAAACGCCTAGGCTTCATCCAAGAGTCACTCAACTCGTCTCCGAGTTACTCAGGGTTGGCTTGGCTATCCGATCGAAATCAGCTTCTAGTTAGAATCTCTTTTCAGACTCTCATGAGAGTATTATGAGGGTCGGCCGAATCTGAGTCATTCCGAACTTGCAACTACTTGATTAGAGGCAGTATTTTCAGCTCGGCCCTAGCAAACACAGAGGGGCTTATTTACGTGCTCCTTGAGTCATAGACGGCAACTATTGCAGAGTCCGGCCTTCATATAAATTTTGTTAGGTATCATGGATGCTGCATTACTGCAGATAACCCACGAGAAATTTTGCTTGTTATGCCTTGACATTGACTGACAATTTTTGACAGTTGTTATAGCCATATAGCCAATCGCGTCATAAATTCGATGTGATTTAAGTATTTTCCAACAACTGAAATTATTAGTACTGACCTGACTAGACTTAGTCAGGCTGCACTTGACGTTTGATTTGATTCGGCGACCACAATGAATGTTTAAGTTATACTTCGTAGCATGAAGTTACTCATGGACATGTTTACATCTACTGTTTATATTGGCACCGTTGCTTGGTTTAAATTCCTTAGTATGCTTCCTGTAGTTGCTAATGAGACCACTGTGTTATACAAAGAATATTATACTATATGCAGTGAAATTGTGTCATGTTTCACATTATTTAATAATTAAAATTAATTAATTAAGGATTTGAGGCATAACTTTTCGAATTTTTTCGTTGCCAATAACATGCGTAAAATTTTCATAAATAAATTCTGATAAATTCAGTCACAAAGTGCAATCGTTATAATTGCACTTTGTTAAAGTGCATCACAACGATTTACGTAATTTAAGATAATTTCTTGTGCTCATTTCGAATCATTGAACGTGAGATGCACTTTAATCTCCAGGATAGTGAATAACATCAATGAATACAATTTTATTCAAAGCAATCTAAACTAAACCTTAAATAAAATTAACACCCGTCCATTGAAGTGTCTCGAAAGTTACTGAGAACTCAAATTTAAATTGTGATATAATGCTGAAATATATGCCCCTGAAACATTTAATAGAACCATCAAGCACAAAACCGATAGTGAATGAGCATTCACTATTTCATGAGGGAAAGGACTACGTCTTCCAGCTTTATGCGTTTTACTGCTCAATATTATTTAACTCAAATATACGTTTACAGATGTCAGTTGGAGCATGCAGATATTTCAGTTGAACAGAAGGCGATCTATAGATCAGAAACGTGCTGATTAAAATTAGTGTTAAAATTTAATCCCTCGTGTTAGTGTTGCATAAATGATGATCTATAGTGGCTTGATAAAATAATGTTAAAAATTATTATCTATATATAGTGGCTTAATAACTTAAGCGTGTATGTTCCACTTTCTACAAATTCTGTCATAAGGGACAATGAAAGGCTACAGCCGTTATTCCCATTAGCAAAAAATTTAGTTTTCTCCACCGAAGGTCATTCGTTTCTATTTTTCGGAGCTTCCACTGCAGTTTCAGTTCTAAAAATTAACGGTCATAGCACGTGAGTTTGACGATTGACCGACATGAATTCTTTCCATAGAAGTCTGTCAAAAATGTGCATGTATACCAAAAGCAACAGAAATTCTGGCGCTTTATACAGTTGCTACCAATTTTGAACACCGATATGTAAACTGGAAATTGGGAAACATATTTCGGTTATTTCACCACAATGTCTATCCAGGCGAGAGCTATTCTTGCGAAACACATATGTTAACGCTGCGTACGTATGCTACTTACGACTAGTTTACCTGACTAGTTTAGTGTAAACTAGTCAGGCGACTAGTTTACACACTAATAAACTACATCCTTTACACTTACTTGGCAGTTGATATATATACAGTACATATTTCTATGCATGAGTTGTTACATACGTACTTACATAACTGATATGCATTCTGTAATATTAGGTTATTTAAAAAATCCAGTTCAAAGAACGTTACTATTAATTAAAACTGCATCGTGTAATAAAGAAAATGTGAATTAAAGTAATGATCAAAATGAAGTATACTTGGATGAAGGAGTGACTAAATAATTTATTGCGTGAAACATGACTATTGATACTCCGCTTTCCCATAAGTCAATGAGCCCTCCAGCCCAAAGGGCATGATGAAAGAAAACTTCAAAAAGCATAAAATATATTAGTAATCGCTGAAGAAATTCTCTGGAAATTTCAATATTAGGATAAGTAAAAACCACTGTACTCGATGCAACAAAAAACCTCAAACAGGCTTGTAAATTTGTAATAGTGCTTTGAATTTTATGTATTTTTTTCGAGCATATTTACATATATTTCTGGTATGAATCAGATGTCATTTCACTGGGTTATATTCTCTTATGTTCACATAAATGGTATAGCCTATTAATCAAAATATCCATAACCAAGAAATTTATTGAATTTCTTCGGGAACAAGTTATTTTTACTATTTTACTAAGTAAAAAGTAAAAATAAAACAAACATTACAAATAATAATACTAATAATATTTTTTCTACTAAGTTTTTCGACGATAAATCGTCACAAACATCCGAAAAATTAATGATTTAATTAAATTTATGGGAATTCACAAATAATTTAATTATTTTTAAATATGTATTGTAATTCACAAATATTTATAATCATCACAACATTCAGAATAACAATCGACGGAATTTCAGCTCCTGGTTATCCGCGTCATTTTCGCTTTGAAATCATTTTATCTAAACGTTAACGGCACACTCACTCCTATTGCACTGACTTATAAATCCAACACAAAGTTTATTTATATCCACGGTAAATTACTATATCCTCAGCACAGCGCGGCAGGATGCGATGCAGTGCACTCGATCGCACGATGCCACGTTCATCGACCATATGCAGTGATGAATTTTAGACCATGCAGGTGCGAGATGTTGAGCCTGTATTATGTAATTCACATGGGGAATAATTGTTATATTTTTTGCGTTATCTATTTGTGTTCTGCGTGCCATCTTTCCAATTTCATCTCAGTTGTTGTTTGCACTAATCCAGAGTGTAATTTTTGCTTATAGATAATCTACATAGAATTATTTTAATTTAAATTCAATTGTTCATTTACTCTCAATCATTCATCTACTCTCAATTATTCATCTACACTCAATTATTTGTTTACACTTAATTATTCATCAATTAACATGGAATGGTTTTCATTTACACCCCCACCAATAACCTTAAATGGCCTCGTGTCGTAGTTCAGGCCGTCATTTTTAGCGCATTTTCTCATTTATGGAAAAAATGCTCAATAGTGCTCGCCATGTCCGTCTGTCTGTCTGTCTGTCCGTCTGTCCGTGACCTCAAGTTTTTGTCGACGAGAAAATGCGCTCTCTGTCACTCACTGCAGTGAGTACTGAGTTATATTTTTCATTTTTATGGCATCTAACTAGTACAAAAAAATAATGTAAATTTAAATTTGAAAAAGAGAAATTAGTGTAAAAATAACATGTTGGCATTTTAATTTAAAATTTATTACACAGATGATCAGTGCATGACAAAAGGAAATAGAATGTGAATAGTTAATCTCATCAAGGTATTTCGTATCTAACATATAATTCTGAACCAATATACCGTACACTAATTGTTTCGCATTACGGACGGCACTTTTCATTGGCTGCAGGATCAGTGGAATCCGTCAATACTTTCACATGAAAAGTTTTGAAGGCTGTTTGAAGTTAATATCACTGAAATGTTGAAATGAAATTTCTTGTTCGTTAAGTAAAAAATTAAATATAAATTGCAAACTAAATGGAGGACATACATTTTAAATAAAATTTCCATGCTTAACGGCAGTGGCATTAGATTTTGCGCAGCCTAGTCTAGAATCACGCATAAAATATATTATGAATAATGGAATAATGATGTTAGGTCAGATAGCATGGGCACCTAATATGTTATTTTGAACGATAAGATCAGTCCTATGCTGCTGATACTTTTTTATCGTAGTATTTGTATAAAGCGTGAAATGCCGAGCTGATCAAGAACAAGTCGGTATTAAATTATCCTGCTTATTAAATAAGCTTCGAATAATTGGAATTTTCCTCCGTTAAAAATTGTATCATATGTCTGTCAACTAGTTTATCAATCACCGATTATGTCGGCACGATATAGACCAGACTTTTTAATCGTCAACTAGAGTACCAACTTTCAGTCAATTGGCTTATGAATCATGTATGTCACTTCAGTTCATGGATGAAATGTCCATCGAAAAACATCTTTTTTTTAAAGAGGATGTAATACAATAAACATGTGCCTCATTTGAATCTAGCGTTATTTCATTTTTTGTTATAATCAAACATCAATCAGATTTTTCCTCGTAATAAAAATAAAGGAAAAAATCGTGTGGTGAATCATTATATTAAGAAAGTTTCACTACAATTTTCTCCTGGCAAATACACGGCTTACCAACAACTGGTTGAATTGACTGCTTAAAGCTTTTGCTTTGCTCGCTCTATGCATAATTATTAATTAGAACATTTAATAAACTTAAGAACATTTTATCTAAACGATGTGCTCGTATTGTTAACGAATGGAAATACACAATTTGCGCTATCAAAACAACAAATCTCAATGATTTTGTTACATTATGCACATTGTATATAACCGCGTTCGATTTTGTGAATTAAAATGATTCACATGCCTACTTATTTACAGATACGATGCTCCTTTTTAAATACGCAGATTCAATTGTTTAGTCTGCTAAATGATGTGAATGATATTTCGTAATGATAAGCAATTTTACTTAGTGTAATTTAATCGAGATTCATGCACATAGCGACTTCTATAAAAGCTAACAAATATAAGCAATATCCCTACTCATTTATTCATAAAATTAGTGGCATAATTAGTTAGGACGATATTCACGAGCATTTATGCGTATTTACTTATTTACATATCTTTATTTTTTCAAGAAATCTATCGGACAGATTAATATTGATCAATAATTTAAACTTTTACAAACGTAGAAAATATTCTTAACGGCTAAGTAATGTTGAAAATTTCATTGCTTCAAATAAGTACGTCTAGAAAATAATTTATTTGTATAAACAAAACGACAGTTATGATAAATTACACTGGGACGTTTTCGCTGAACAACCTAAACTGATATCCCGCATACCGTATTTACTGAACGCTGTATGCAGTGGGTGAGTAGCATGTTTCAGTAACAGGCATTTGCAATGGTTCAATTAATCAATAAATTCAACTGTTAATTTACGAATAATTCTTTCGCAAAAAGGAATTAAAACTAAAAGGAGTGAGATTGCCCTTTTTCATTAGCTGGATAAATAAATGATTTTATTATTCGTGACTCAAATGCGAGTGATGGTTTTATGTGCATTACATAACGATACATATAGGTATAAACAAATAAACAACTGTTGAATTACACTCGTAGTCTATTTATTCATTTTAATACCAAATTCAATTCATAGATTTTGCTATTCATACCATAATTCTATAATTCATTGAATCATCATTCAATGAATCGTCATTTAACTTCTGGATACATTATTCAGGGGGGACGCAATTAAATTCTTTCGATGAATTCATTGACAGTAATCAGCACCTCATACCGAAATGCTGAATTGTTAATAGTGCAATTAAAACAGTCACTGACATGTCAGGGTAACTGGCAGAGAGAACTGACATGATTACCCAACTATTAATTCGCCCACACTTAAAACAATACTTAAATAATGACTTTTTTAATAATCACTGGCTTAAATAATAGTTCATATGAAGTTTGGGTTTACCCAACCGGTCACCATCACCTTCATCACCATTAACTCAGAGGCCAGGTGTTAGCTGCAAGAGAGAAGGTAAGTTGCTCGGTAAGATGATTGTGAAGATAAGGCAGCGCAAGGCAGATGTAATGTTACGGTAACTTATATAAAAGTTCGGCTGATAAGAGTTATCGCGGCCACCGTTAATGTCAGAAGCCTTATGAACTCACCTCATTCAACCCTGCTTGAAGGTAAAGCTACATTTATATCAATTTTAGGATTCACTGTGAAAATGCATGGTGATCCCAATCTTTGAATATTGATAAAATTTCAGTCTTAACTTTGGAGAATACAAATGAATAAAAATTGTGTTGTTTTCAAAAATATTGTAGCTTCAATCGCTTATCTCAAGAATCGTAAACCTGAAATTATGTTTATGGTTTTATGTACCAAATTACAAAGTGTTAGATATATTTCAGAAATTCTCTACCGTGCACTCACATATCTCACCTTTGTAGTAGAGTCCTCTCTGCATGGACGGACAACTGCCACCCTGAAAAATAAGAGCCATCTTGAACTTTTTTCTTACTATATAAAATTAAGGATAGAAGTAGAAATTAAACACCGTTCACATTTATTAGTGAGAAAAAAGTAGCTTTGAAATTATTTATTAGTTTATTTATTTTATTTAGGAACGGTTGGTTTTTTGAATTGACAGAAAATGTATATTTATAGTGCAGGCAAAATCAGGGCCATCTTAAATTTCTTCTTCTTACTATAAAAAGCAAGGGTAAAATTAGAAATTAAACACCGTTCAAATTGCTTGGTGAGAAAAAAGTACCTTATGAAATTATTTATTCGTTTATTTATTTTATTTAGGAACGGCTACTTTATAATGGAGGAAAATATATATTTATATCGCAATCAAAGTCATCCGCTAGACATCAGTTAGCATTAATCTGTAATTTCGTTTTGAAAATAATCAAGATACATACATTCCGTCGGCTTAGGTATGAAAATAACTCCTAATTGGGATTTATGTAATTACCATCATTTGTTTTCAAATTAATTTTTCAATTCTCAGGTATACGAAGTTACAAGAAACATAGATTTCGTAGGTAACAAACGATTTCTATAAGCCTTTATTTTGAATTAAATACATATTTCCAATGTGCTTCAAAAGCTGAGCGAATAAATGCAGGGAACTTGAGACTTTTTATCTGCTGCGATGGAGTTTCACTGTCGATCTATGATCTGCTTCGAGGGTCTATTCAACATTTCTTATATGATAATTTCGAAATCCACGTTGTATGACTCTTAAACTCATAGCAACTCAAATTTTCCTAAAATGAACTATTATTTTTTAATTGCAAAAAATATGTAAAAAATTGACCTGGCTGGACCTAACCCCAGTATAACGGTCTCTAGAAGCTTAACGAAGGATTTTAGAAACACCTAACCCTAACTCTAACCTATAGAGCTTAGCGTTTTTTTTTTGATGTCCGGTAATATAGTTCATTTATTTTCGCGTCCGGTTTTCAAGTACAAACTAATTGCAGAGTATATAACCGGACGCGATTTTGTCCGGGTTTCTAACCCTTGTCCGGTAATGTTATCAATCCTGTCCGGTTATTGTTAAACTTATAACTTTTTTATATAATATATGTATATAGAAGTGCCACATTTGCCACTATGCTTGGCATAACCGCGGACAAAACTGCCCAGTATGGAGCCTAGAGCGTCACTAGGAACAAGCTCTAAGCGAGCTCTAAATCACTGTTATTAAGCGGTCGCTGGCGTTCATCGATCCCAAATCAGTGGTCGAGTGGCCTCTGTATAGGGGCTTTGATTTACGGTCCCACCTTCTTTGACTGCTTTTCTTAGGCCGCCTTGAACTTTTTTGTAATTCTCATCGTGAATGACGAGGCCTATTCATCTTGTTCATCTTCAACTGTTTCACTTTATCTTCAACTGTTTCTTACGCTTACATTGAAAAAAGTCTAGTATTTCCTGTAAAATATAATGCATGAAAATTTAGATCCGTGATATCTGTTGAAGCCGATGGAATATTTAAAACAAATCCACGGTTGCAACTTGTTAATTAAAATACAAGTAATAACAAAATGAAAGTAACTATGAGACACATTTGATATTCAAATAACTAAGATCACATTTAACCCTCCAAGTGGCATTCTTTTTTAGCAAGATGAATGTTCTGATAATTATGACCACCATATTTATCCAAATATATATCATGCTTTAATTATCAAACCTAATCAACATTTGATTTGTGGTGGAAGTTAACTCAATTTAGTGACGAATCGTCGAATTGTCGGTGAAGATAGTTTTTGTGGGAGGTACTTTTATGGACCGAGTCTCTCCTCAATGAATCGTTCAACTGTTGATGACTTGCCCATGGTAACAAAGGCAAGCTTATCATGCATCTCCATTTGACGATTTGTCCATACTCTATCCGATCACCAGCTCAAATTATTACATGTTATATTTTTTGCTCGTGTGAAAAATCGAAAATTCATTCAACAGTTAAAGACTTGCCCTTGGGTTAAAAGAGTATTTTTATTGCAGCATGCGTCAAGACTATATGGTTCCTAATCTCGTATTATATTGCCTGGGTTGTGCAGGCAATGTTTTTCTAGTGTAACAAAAGTAAACGAATAGTCAGTCGTCAATGACTTTACCTGGGTTTTGCCGAAGCATGGTTGTTGCGAGTGTCAAAACTCGTTGAATCGTCCAATCGTCAAACAATTAGTCTAGATTTCGTAGAGAAAACGTATGTTAAAACTTACCGACTAGTCCAAGTGTCAATGACTTGGCCAGGGTTTTGCTCGCCATGTTTGTCGTAAGTGTCCAAACTTACCGACTAGTCCACGTATCAATGACTTGGCCAGGTTTTTGCCGGGCATGTTTGTCGCAAGTGTCAAAACATACCGACTACTCCAAGTGTCAATGACTTGGCCAGAGCTTTGCGCACCATGTTTGTCGCAGTTGTCAAAACTTACCGACTAGTCCAAATAACAATGACTTGGCAAAGATATTGCCGGGCATGTTTGTCGCAAGTGTCAAAACTTACCGACAAGTCAAATCGTCATTGACTTGGCCTAGGATTTCGGAAGGCAAGACTTACGTCATTACTATTACAGACTTACGTCAAGACTTACGTCATTATTACAAGACTTACGTCATTATATTATTATTAAAACACGTTAGGCAAGACTTACGTCATGTTACGTCAAGACTTACGGCGTTGGAGAAGTCGATGTTGGTTCTGAGAGGACGATGGTGAAGTTTCTGCGCCGGTCTGAAGTTGTTGGCAAGCGGCGCTGCACCTGGAAGCCCTTGCTTCAGATGACGTAACCCCACCAACTGACGTCGGCAGATTGGATGGTACAAGCCATATTAATTGATTTTATAATTGAACAAAGTTTAACATCGAGATGTTCTGATATTAATATCATCAACGAAGACCATACTTAAATTTTTTTATTATTTTCGTGGCTGGAAAACTTTGAGATGACGTAACCCCACCAGCTAACGTCGGCAGATTGGATGATACAAACCATATTAATTGATTTTAAACAAGCCGTATTAATTGATTTTATAACTGAACATTGTTGACCATCGAGATTTTCTGATATTAATATCATCAACGAACACCATACTTAAAATTTTTTTATTATTGAACCGGCGATCTAGCCTTTTCAACGAATATGTGCAGAATTTGCACGGCACAAGCCATATTAATTGATTTTATAATTCAACAAAGTTGAGCATCGAGATGTTCTGACGATAATATCAACAACGAAGACCATATTTAAACTCTAGGATTATTGAATTGGCGATCTAGCGCAACTCCGCGTCTTTTTAACTAATATGTGAAGAATTTTGGGGGATTTTTTCTTCATCACAAATTCCAGTGTAATTTGTGATTTATGCTTTAAAGTGATCTTAATACAATGAAGACTAATTTTTTATTCATGGTCACTATGATAGTCGAAAAATTAAAACCATGCAAAGAAAAATATAAAATGGAAGTCTGAGGTCGATAATATACCGGCATTAGATTCTTCCATTTTATCCACTTGTAGACCACTTAAAACTCGCTAAGTGAACGTAAAAACTTACGCTCTATTTTCTTGTCTATGATTGGTGGATTTGGCTTGAAAGGCCGTCAATCATTGGCTGATGAACTTACGATCTCTTAACTTTTTTTGAAAGTATTGGCCCTGAAAAAATAGCAGCCACGCCTCACCTGGGGCTTGGTGATGTATACAGGTTTGTTGAGCACGAGCCACGTGACGGTCTCGTGGCACGCAGGCATGGTGGTAGAGCCGTCGTAGGTCACATAGTATGGGGTGTGTGGCAGCAGCTCGTGCAACGACACTTGTGGTATCGTGAACGAGTCGCCTGTATGAAACATATTTGCATCATCGAAATAAACTTTCCCAAGTTTAGTTTTGTCATTTAATTTTAATCGTTTGGTAAAAACCCGAAGCTCATTGTTACCTCAAACCCGAAGCTCATTGTTCCAATCTTGCTGTGCTCAATCACCCAAGTACCTGGCTAATTTAAATCAGAAATTTCGCAATTATAGCTGCCTCAATTTTGATGATCCTAATATTTTATGCAACCCCAATGTTTAAATTAAAAATGAACTCAAACGCCGAGATAGATTATAATTCATATTTTTATAGTTAATTTCTAACGATTAATGAATTCAACTTACGCTAATTGGTAATAAATAAAAGAGTTTATTGATAAGTGTGAGAGTCCCCACTCAACCACTTTCATTACCAGCGCGCTAGAACAGAATTAGTCTACGGACTTCAGTCACAGCATTTAATTTACTCACTGATTCCTTTAATAAGGAAAAATTACAACTTAATAAGCGTTAATAAAGAAAATTCATATTAGAAGGCTCAAAATTTGGATAGAAAAATTAATAAAATTCAAATTATTGCTCTTTTATTGAGACCTCATTGAAACTAGATTCAGCTAAATTTTCATTAACGAATTCATATGTTTAAGCTCCACTAACACAAGTTGGTGCCAAATTAATCGGCTCAAGCACGTAATTCATGAACGTCATGGTAAAGATCAAGATAAGCTTGATTCTTTACGTTGGTCACGAGCAAGAAGCAGAAATGCACTCTTCTAGTTTGCTTTAATACAGAAGAATGATGCCTGTCAGTTTCAATTAACGTCTCTTCACAGATACAGACACGAATACGAGCAAGTTTAGTGCTGTGCATAGCAACGGAGCATCTGGGTGATGGATTAGTGGTTGTGTAAATGAATGTATCTGCGAAATGGATAATTGTTTATATTGTTATATAGCAATATAAACACATGATTTTTTATATTGCTCTCATTTACTTATCATGAAGGAACACAGGAAAAAATCATGAAATATTAAATAGGTCGTCCTCAGATTTATTCATACAATTGACTACACCCAGTGGAACTGGTTGATTTAACAGACCATCGAAAAAAAAAAACATATAAACGACGTCTTTATTCTAAAATTTTGCTGCTTCTGTTTCCACACTACGATACAAATTCAATAAGTCATACAATGGCGAAAACTTGCATTCTTTTTGCATACAAAACGAGGAAATAATTCCTAATTTCAGCAAATGTTATTTCCATACATAGTTGGAAATGAATCCATTTTGTTTCTTGAGAATTTCGTTCCGTGGCACCTATTTTACTTTGCTTTTGACTTATTGCTGGGCTCAACCTTAGACCTACGCTATAAATTGCCCTTTTCATTACTTTGCATCGAGAATTACGACATTTAATTATCTACATGAATTACTCGCAATAACATCTGAATTTTACTTGAATAAACGTAAAATTTCACAATTTTTTCGTTCAGCGTTAAATTATTAACCGAGAATAACGGCTTTAGATTAAAAATTATTTTTATTTGAGGTTACTACCTCATTCGTGGCGATTTCTTTGCCTTAAATTTCACCGTTAAATTACACTATCGCCTTAAAATGACACAACCTCATTTAAATAATTGAAATTCGTAGTAGCAAATCTACAATAACTGAAGACTCGAGGGAAGGTCTCGACCTGATTTGAAGGATGACTATTGTAATGTTGAGCCTGGCCAACTGTTCGTGTGGAGGCTTAGTGTTCAGGTTGAACTTTTGATTATAGAGCAAATTTGACCTGACTGGAGTACCTTTAATTCAGTCGCCACTTTGCTGCCTAATCTGTTACGCATCGAGGAGCATTCGTGGCTACGTGAATCCGCCTTTATTCACTTCAATAAATTTTATTACTATGTTATTGTTTTCATAATCAACCGGCGTTTTAATGTTGACGATTCAAGAGGATAATTTCATTAGTAGGTGTGTCGGAATAATTTTTTGAAACTATTCATGTTTTTATACTCGAGTTTTGAATACATTTCCAGCGTTCATACATTTTCTGCACCCTGTTTTTTCAACTGTTTAAAAGATAAATGTTCAAATGTTTTCTATATATGTATATTATACACAGAAATATTTATTCCTTCCAGAAAGCTACAAAAAAATTGAAGCCACGTCGGAATTTAAATCTAATAAATCATCAAGAAAAAATAAGAATAGTCTTCGATCATTGAGAATGCCCTATAAGTTCACACCTTTTGTCTACCAAACATTACGAAAATCGGTATACAACCAGCAAGTAGTTTTCTAAATTTTATGACAATTCCGTTCGAATCTCAAACTTTCGTAAGACGTAATTCAGTCACAGAAAAAGTTAACAGGTCGCCATTGACTTGGATTATCAGTGGCTTATTGATCAGCAATCGTCATAAATTACGGTGATTTTATGATCCAGTGCAGCCATAATAATCATGTTCTCCGTCATAGATGCATTGAAAATGCTACTGCAAATCTGGCATTGGGGGGAGGCAATGGCAGCACGAATGCTTGTGATGAAGACAAGACACTAATAAATCAGTGCACAGTTGGGAAATAATTTTTTCACATTTTTAACATAAATAATTATTTGAAACAATTATTAAATCATTCAACTTGTGTATTGGATAATAATGGAAAATGAAATACAATGTTTATAGGGGACTTTGATACTCGCGGAACGAGAAAATGAAGAAAAATGTGTTAGTATCTTCGAGGTAATTTTAATATATTGAACTTAATTCGATTTTTTCATTGTGGAAAGAAATTTTTAAGCGTACCGACGAGATTCCAGTTGTCGAATATCAATGAAATACAACATTCGTAAAACTATCCCCTCGTAAAATAATATTCCGTGAAACTATTCGCTTGAAAGTTGTGGCTGAGGAACTGATGTAGTCGTCAGAAGTGTCGATGATTAGCTTAGCTCACAACTTATACTTAACACGTCGATAATCGTTCATATTCACGACAAGGCTATTTGTTAGAATTATTCGTGCAATCCGTAATAATTTGATTGGCTTAATCGATATTGAAAGAAGTGATTTTGAAGTTTCAATTAAGATTAATGTATGTCGAACAGGAGGCAGTGCAACCGTGAATTAAAAATGACAATCAGTTTCTAATCGTGTATTTTTAATAATACATGCGCAGAAAAAGTTTAAATTTCAAGAACTCACTGAGATAAAATACGTTCTTATCAATTTTGATGATTATATTTATTATATTATATCTGGCAACCTATACTTCTATTCATACAAGCAAAGATCATTAAAACCTAAAATTGACAATAAAAGACAAATCCACCTAAAATAACACAGCAAAATTGGCCTTTTAGGCTTTTTTGCTTGTAATGTTTGAATTTTTATTTTGGATTATTTAATGATATTATATTTACTTTCTAGGTTTGTCCAACTGACGATGGAGCTGGTTTCCGAAACGTTTTCCTTAAGAAAGATATGGTGAAATTCTGTGCCATCTTCTCTGTTTTAAATTCCTTGTTAATTTGTGTTTTGAGCAATCGAGTGATTTTAGTAGCTCGATTTTTATTTTATTTTGTAGTAAAGGATTAATATATAAAGAAGATCTGGCCAGATAAGTGATATTTAGCGGATTCCTATTTTATTGCGCTTTCAGGTGGCTTTTCTGATTTGTTGAGAATATTTTCGCAGAATTAAGACACCAACACCTTCCAGCAATGACTGACGAAAATGAATTTTCGAAAATTTCATTAATTATTTTCTTTCGTACAAATTGTCATCGTAATTATTTAACAAAATTATGAACTACTTGCTTATGAATTGAACTCTATGCGACTAATTATGAACTTTAATTGCTCTATGCGTTATTAGCTCTCACTCCATTAAAAATGACGTGTGATGTCAAATTGCTAGTGTTTTAGTTACTGGAAAAATCAGTCTAAGATCATAAAGTTCATAACTTATCGTACTTTTACTAAAACAAATTTGATATCTTGCAAGAGATTTTTGTTCCTTCCTGAGATTCAAATTATTCTACTTCCCCCAGGGATCTCCCGTACACTACAATCCCTGAAGAGGGTGGTAGAAATATAACTTAATTCAAGGAAGTGACGATTTTACAATCGTCTATAGAATTTAAATAAAAAGACTATGCTGCATATTTTGCAACAGAAAATGGAAAAGTGATTCCTGCTCAAATATTATTCTGTATCCGATTTATTTTAGAAATCAATTTAAATTTAAATGAATGCGAACTTTAAGAAATAGTTAATGTATTCGTAATTTGTTAAATAGTTGCAAAAACCTCGCTTCAACCATGGTAAGAAGTGCCAGTTTCTGAATCTCGGGCATAGATGCTAGCAAAGTTTCGATTGAAAAATGTTATCGTCATTTTGGCCTTTCAAGTCTACTAAGTTTATGAAACATGTGACACGACAATATAGTGCTATCCCTATCAAACGATTCAACGAAGTTAAAGTATTATACGACACGAAAAAATTGTCATCAAAGCCTCTTAATTCATCAAAGTTGACGTAATTTATGCTTAAGTTTTCTTAAATTTCACTAACAATTTCTAAGCACTATAGTAATGAGTTCAACTAATATAAAATTGATAATTTCTTCCTAATTAAATATTAGTAAAAGTGAATCGAGTTATATATGTAATGCATGTTTTCTGTCCCTTTAATTCAATCGTACATGTTTCTCCCATTGCATAAACAGTAGAGAAAGCTAATACAATTATCAGAAAAACTGTGAAAAACAAGCAATTATAACTGAAACCTCACTCAAAGCCAGGCATCGATTAAACTTGAATAAGTTATGGAAAAAGAGTGCTGGTGAGGGACTCTGCTCGATCGTGAAGTTTGTGGTTTTGAATGTGGCAGACAAAGCATCCGTCTCTGTCGCAAGGCACAATGTAGCGAGGCTACTTCAACTAGCTGCACTGCTCGTACCACAGCTCCACATACGTGTATTGTGGTGCTTTTCTGTTCATGAGTGGCATAGCTTTTTGCGGTTCTCTTAGACATGAAACAAAGTATGTAAGTTCTCTGTTACATGATCCTGTGAGTGTATTAGTAATGCAGCTTCCTGCTGACAGATCTTGATGAGATTGAGATGTAGTCCATTTACACGGTAACTTATTAATCATGGTTGAAATATCTACTCTCATCACATCACAAATGGCTGGAAAGCAATTGAAAATACTTACTAATAAATTCCAAATGAAAAATATATCGGAGTCGCGCAGTGGAGTTTAAGTTAATATATAAGAGTCGCCACGATCATCAACAGGATTACTAGAACTGAGGGTAAAATTATATTTGTAAGAAGACAAAACAGATGCAGTCAATTTGGCGATAAATGTGAACTGGTACAAATTCATCCCGAGTGCTCATAATGACTTTATAATGTATTAAATTGGTCGAAGTTATATTTTGATGATGCCTGTAAATGTATATGAATGAAAATTGATTCCCGTATAATCGTTTATTCCGGAAGGATTAGAAGGGTTCAATGCAGTTGCGTTAGAAGTACATAAATTTTTTCCGTTCGTACTGATCTCTGATGCGATGACGTAATGAGATACAAATAAAAAAAACGTCCGCGTGACGTTTAAACTTTTGTTAGAGTCCCGTATTGGAGAAACTCCCTTTCCGTAAAAAAATTCATCCATACGAATTAAGAATGTGACTTCCATGACTTGATTGCGAGAGTAAAGGACGTACGTAGTTATTTTAAAATACAAGAGTTCGCAGTCCTCTCTTGTATTCATGTCTAAGAAAATAAAACTAGTGCATGACAGTAAAAATTCGAGCAACGTGAAGTAAGGCAAATCAATAAATGTCTTACTCACCGACAAATTTAATATTTTCGACACCTTCTGTTAGGAGACTCAACCATGGACTTGAATTTTCTCCCAGCTGAAAGAAAAATTTATGATTGTTAAAGAAATGAACATACATATTTCCAGAGAACATGTATGACCAGAAAAAGTTATTTGTTAAGTAAATCTGCAGCAATAGAATAGAAGAAAAATAAATAAAGCAAAAAATAAAATCATATGTTTTCTGGACTGAACAATCATATGAAATTGCATCAAGTGTATGCACTTCTTAAAGAATGAATCATTAAGCAAGGAAAGCTAACTGTGACTTCTAAATTTAAAATAAAATAAAGCAGGCGTACTTGTATGATAAAGCGAATTAAATTCATACAAGATGGGAAATTGTGGCAAATTTAGATTTCGCAGCAAAGTTTACACCAGGTCGTTGAACGCAGTCAAAAATTGCACGCTGTTTTTAATAATAAACTTCCTAATACATCCCCACTAATTATCTCTTCAAGGAAGAACCATTTAACTCGACTTTTGATAATTAACGTAATTATTATAAACTGTGCAATAAATAGGAAAACAAGTGCAAATGCCATTGCTAGGTCAAGTTTGGCAATGCGAAAACTTTTATTTTCTTTAAACAGGCTTCGTTGCCATTAGTTGAGCGATCGCAGGCCATATAAAAATTATGGATTCAAATTAAATTGGAATATCTAGTATAAAGTGAAAGTTAATTGAATGGAATGAGAATTAGAAACAATTTATTCGTGAAATTACTTTTCAGTTTATTATTCACAGTCGTGCGTAATATAACTCACCTGAACTAACACCGAGATGCCAACAATGCCATAAGCTTTGTCAAGAGCTTGTGAAAAATTGGAGTACAGCTGAGAGTTGAAGCCGAGTAGCTGTAACTGGAAAAAATATAAAACCTTTATAAATTAAAGTGAAACATTACATCAAAACAGCGGCATGAAGACTTACGTTCTAAAACTCATTTAAACAAGAGTTAAAGCCGAGTAGCTGTAACTGGAAAAAAGATAAAACATTTATGAATTAAAGTAAAACATTTCATCAAAACATTACAAATGACTCTCTAAAATTCCTTTACACAAGCGAAAATCATTCCCTCTTTTACAATTTTTAATTGTAGGTTATTCTTAAGTAGCAGATATTTTTGTATCGTGTTGCATTGTATTCAATTAAAAGTTTATCCAAACTCCAAGGTATATCTTCGATTAATTTTGTAAAGTGTATGTGTGTAAAAAGTACATGTAAAACAGTGCCCAATCGGTTGGAACAAACGTGTCATCATTGAAAACGAATGCTGATAAAATTTTAATTTTATTCAGTTTCAAAACGATTTGCTGCACACATGATTTGCAATTCGCGCGAAATTATCCATGAAATATTCTTTAAAATATAATTTCCATTATTTTCCTTTCCAGATAATTCAAGAAAAAACTTCTACCTTAAAATTTATAGAACTTGCTACCATGAGAATTTCATCAAATTCACACACAATTCTGACAATAAAATTAAATTTTCAACATATATGCTTTCATTTACATCGAATTCTGCTTCGCATCCCTCAATCGGTCAGTAAAGCGACGAATATTCAAGTTATTATTAGTAATGAATGCTTGGTTTCTATTAAATATTGATTCCAAATCCCTCATGTTCTCATCAGACGTTTCTAAAATGAGTAAAATTCCAGCATATACATTTTTTCATGACTTCTAATTTTAGCTTGCTTAATTTAGAGTCTACCGGCATTAATGTATGAAAATAAAAATGAGTATGAAAAAATTCGTATCGATCAAGCTTTGCTACATGACTGAAAATAGATAAGGATCAATTAAAAAAAATTAGGTTTACGAAGTTCGACCTGAGCTTTAAAACACCATGTTAAATATGGACCGCATTATTTGTTGCTCACTGTATTAAAAAAAGTAATCTGAACAAATCTCAAACTCGCTCTAAATTATATAATCAGATGATGGAATTAATTAAAAAAATAATAAAATATGAATATTAATTTAAATTATACAGATCATGCTGATGATGCCGTATTAGTTATACAGGTACATCTATTTTACATCTCTACTTTAGTTTTGTGGTGGAGGGTATCATTTATAGACAGATGTAGAAATCGAGCGCGGCTTTATGAACATAATAATCACTCAAGGTATTTCGAATATATTCTCCTCAAAATTAATTCTAGCGGCGATCGCAAGGGCATCAATAAAGACCTAAGCCAGGGAATGGATTATTCAGAATTCATGAGGCAGTTCCAAGCAAAGTCCGAGAGATTATTACGTGTCAGGCGCCGAAAATAAGGCTGGTTACGACATTTTACAACAAATGGCCGAACACCCGAGCAACACCAGCCATCTATTGTGCCTTTGTCCGCAAAATCGATTAGTAGCGCATGTTGGAGGTTCTTGATTCTAAACCAGGAGCCACACCTGCTTTCTTGACCACATTTTTACTCGTCTTGGTCTTACATCGTCTCAGCACGTATATTATAATATTATTATTAAAACACGTGAGGATTAATGATCGAGCAAGCATTCACATCATTAATCAACATTAAGTAAGCATTTACATCACTAATCAATACTATTCATTATCTAAAAACGTGATCAAATGCTCAAATAAAGACTAAAATCTATCTGAGAGTACGTATGATGTATAAATTTTAGTTGACGAACCAAACTCCTCCAAGCTCAATAACTTATTGTGCATACCTATGAGACTATAAATGAATTTTGACATGCTGAACGTCGATCAACTTCATTGTCATGCAACTGTATAATTTCATGTTATCTGAATTACATTATGCATCTGACATGACATAAGTCAACTTCGAAAGTTCTCTTTTCCTGATAGGTGGTCATTCAATGCCATTCGAGGAAAGTAGCTTGAACAAAATACAAGTAAAATTCTAGCGTTACTTAGTTATTACGTTCATTTCGTCTAAAAGAAATTCAAGAAGTTAAAAAATTAGTTGATCGACCAGTAGATGATATCGTCAGTGCTCTACATAAAGTCGATTTCTGGAGCGACTGCCGACTAGGTTAACCACCTACTTGTCGCTCGATCAGATCCAGTACGCAGTCTCTAATATTAAACATAATGAGCTTTGGCCCGAAGAATTGTAAGCCAATAGCGGGGCCTTTAGTGATCGATTAAATGTGATTGGAGCTACACTCGGTCACTGAATCATTTTTGTGTCGGTCAAGAGCGTGAAACAAATTTATTTTAAACTTTATTGGATCTAAACATGAAGCGGCAGGACACCTTTAGCCCTCGCTCTTATGCTGATCCGATCACTGTTAATCCCTAACGATCGAGTAAATTGGCGCACCACTCGCACTCAACTTACAAGATCATGAGTATGTAACAACATTATGTAGAAAATGTTGGTTACTATATAAGACATTCAATGACTAGCGTTCTGTAGTTTCTCATGTTCCAGATACTTTTTTCGAGATTCAATGGTATATATTGTACATTCAGTTATATATATTGTATATTCAGTATCTTTTAACTAGGTTCTCTCTGGGTCAACGACTCTTCAAATTTTCATGCATCACGAAGAAAAATTTCGTAGCATTGGAGAATAATTCGATACAACTAATCTTTTTTAGCTCATCAAATAATCTAGAAAATTTTTAACAACAGAAACTACGAGACTTAAAAAAACATTAATTACAAACTTATCAAAAAGTTTTGCTCTCTTGAACGATTGTATAGTTAAAGTAAATTGTAAATTCTCGGCGCACGCCGTATCTACTACACGTGGCGTGTTTGCCTCAGGATTATAGATTCGGATGAACTGCTGCATCACTGAACTCTTGTGACTGTAAATTCAATGGCACTTTCATGGCTTGGCCACTAGATCGATGGCCTGGAGTGGCTGCTAGGAGCTGTTGTGGTCACATACTGTATTATTCTATAAGAAGTGACGAGGTTTCAACGTCCTTCAAGAATTCCTGCGTGTTTTCGTCTGTGACTTGAAAAAATCCTTTTACAGTTCGTATGGCATGACGCCTATACAAGAACATCAGGATTGTTTCATGTTATTCTAAAAGAAGTGACGAGACTTTAACATCCTTCAAGAATTTCTGCATGTTTACGTCTGTGACTTGAAAAAATCCTTCTACAATTCATACGACACGATGCTTATACAATAACATCAGAATGGTTTCATCATTTATAGCTTTTCTTATTCAACTTGTATGGCTTAACTCAATGATTCATCTATCAATCAAATCAGTTGCAGCATTCAATTACAACGTAAACTGCTCATGCAAGCGATAACTATAAATTTATTACGGACAAAATTAATTTATTTTGGTTCGATATTTTATTAAATGATTGTTTCTTCTATCTGAAGCACAGGACTCCAAATGGAATACTTTATCGATTACATCTACGCATATATTGATAATTCAATTAATCATTGTGGACATCTTTTATGATGAAAAATGTACATCCCGATTCAAAAACTTTGCTTATTTCAAGCGTATCGGTTCCACTGATACAATAACTATGCAGAGCTGGGCAGCGCTACTTTGAAATGCAGCGGCCGCTACCGCTACATGCTCTAAATGTAGCGGGCGCTACAGCTACCACTACAATTGCTTAAATGTAGCGGGTGCTACCGCTACCGCTACTGAAAATGTAGTGGCCGCTACATGTAGCGCGCTACTGCCCACCTTTGGACGAACAAATAACATGTTGACTCTAGTAACAGGCTTAGGTTGACAACATTACACCGAAATACTTCGTGCAGTTTTATTCTGTAATTTATATTATGTATTTATCATGCTGGTTTCTAAATAATATTTAATCTATTAAGTAAAATCTAAAGGCTTAATCTACAAATGTAGCGGTAGCGCTAAAGCGGTGAAACCTCGTATCGCTACTTAAATATTATCGGGCGCTACCGCTACCGCTACAATTGCTTAAATGTAGCGCCGCTACCGCTACATGTAGCACGCTACTGCCCACCTCTGTAACTATGCAATGGCTTCAAACAGAAATATAATACCTAATAGTGGAATTGTCGAAAGATTTGTGTCACTCATTGTTCTGAAAACTAATTTCAACTGCTGAACTCACCAGTTCAGTCAGTGCTAACAATTTTTATGCACCGCCAACTCACTAAAAAATACATGTAACCCTTACCTGATGCTCATTACTTTATAATAAAAACACGATGGAAAATCAAACTAGTATTATTTTACTACTACTAAAATACTTTAATCAAGCGTACGAGTTTATCTTTCCAAGCGTCAAGAAACCTTTCTTCATAGCCTGAGTAATTCTGTGAGTTAGTCAATAATTTATATATATTTTTTAATTTATAATTTATATAATTGCTTCAGGTAAACTACTCGCCGGAGTTATCATGTCAACTTAGGCCTTAATAATTGAAAGTGAAACATTGTCTACGCATTCCTATAAAAAGTTTATTCATGAGCTGTAAACTTGCTAATAGAATATACGGGTTACAACAACTGAAAATTTTAAATATATACTCATCGGCAGCGTCGCCTAGTTGAGTGTCGGTGATACTTAGTCTGCGGAAACAATATCCTGGTGAAGAGAACGTAAGAAGTTGAAACTATTGCTGAAGAATTCACCAAATGCGAGTGCAAGTCGGGCTGATATAAGATTTATTATACTTCCTTGCTGCATTCAAAATATTTTGTAATGGTTGTTTTAACTTTAGAGAAGTCGATGCGAGACGGGGTGTTTTGCGCTCGTGTCAATGCCAATATGAGACTCGTCAAACTCGAAGTATCTTAAAGTATCTTAGATATCTTCGAATAAGACGTCATGTAATAATTTTCACCCGGGAAAAAAATTCGAAAATTTTCTTGCTGGTATTTCAATTGCGACTTCTATATGGGGTAATATTTGCTATACTAAATACGAATCTTAGCCACTTTCTTCAACAATTCAATCTATAACCTATCAATTTGACGCTCATTAAATGTAGAACCATTTTGGGCAGCAAGAAACACGACAGGATAATATGAAAACAAAGAGTAAAAAACTTTTGGAATTGAAGCAAGGAGCGACGTTGTATGTTACACGTCATATTCGTAATGCACGCTAATGTGCGGGACAAGCTATCAGTCATGCAGCGGTAGGATGGCTAGCACGCCACGAATAATTGTACGGTCTCTGTTCTCTACATGAAACATGAACGCCGTTACTTCCAAGAAAAGTATGACGTAGAGTATGCCATTATTTATATAAAAATGTGATGAGCAGCATTACGACTCACTTGCACTGAGAATCATTCAAAAAGGAGCATGTGCGTAATATTTTTTTTTGTAGCAGAACTCTGAATATAAAACTATGAGAGAAGGCTTCTGAGTTTTGTAAAACGTGTTCTCCAAGAGTTACGGGATCTTTCATTGCTACAGGGTGATTCACGGACACTTTTTAATTTGAGAGCTCTAAATAACTATTAAAGATATCATTACATTATAAAATTTATCGAAAAAAATTGCCTTAGTTTTTTAATCCCTTAGCTCTGATGATAACATGGCATAAATGACGGTCCCCATTGTCAATTTATTCAGATAATCGATTTTCGAAGTTTCTTTCAACTCGCTGAAGCATATTTGCGAGTATGTTGGCGATGGCTTGGCATATATAGTTATTCAAATAATGTAGGGTCCTTGGACCCTACCCGCTTGCATTTACAATTTCCACTTGCTTTTAAATGTGTTTACCCTCGTAACAATGTATTTCCGATCAGGAACTCGACCTGAAGGACGAATACGGAACGGAGTGCGAATGGTCGTTGAGTAGCGATAACGGAACGGCCATTAGAAAAGTACGCTCGACAGCAAACGCACGCTACTCACTTGTCCAGTGCAGTGGCAACTGACTAGGTAGGACACAAAACTTCATGACCTTGCCTTTACGAAATACTCTTCGCCTTTTCCCCACAACATTTGGCTGCTTGGTGCGAAGTACAAAACAGGAAGTTTCCGTGTATCAAGGAATGAGGAGCTGCTTGATTCTAGCGGCTTTTAGAAAGTTAATGAATGACTGATTCTGTTGTTTAAATGATAATTTAAAACTTGACTTTTTTTCAATTAATGCAGAATATGAGGCAAGGACACTAAGTTTAATTTTTAAAATAAACTTTTGCAGCATGACCTCCAAAAATATAAATTTAAGCAACATTGACCGTGCAACAAACAAGAACAGTTTCTTTGCGTGTGCTATTTATACAATATTGAAAATCAATATAATTCAATTTAGTTGAGTACCTCTGCGGGAAATGCCCTGCCGCTGACGGTGTGTTCGGAGCCGAGCTGGTCCGACGCGCCGTAGTGCAGGTGAATTTCCGTGAGTTGGTAGCGGTAGGACAGAGGGCCGCCCGTGACGTTCAGTGGTGGCTTGCTGGAGTCTAGTGACACCACCACGCTATGACCGGTGTTCTCTACCGTGCAGCTCACCTGGCCAAACATAAGGGGATGGTAATTTAATTGCTACTTAGATGGATATTTGTTACTTACTCATACAGGAGTTTATTTCATCATCTTGCGTAATGAATTGAAAAAACAATCATACGCAAGCCCATTGGGAAGTCTTAGCAATCATTAAATTCATGACATTATAAATTCATGACATCATTAAATTCGTTTCCGCCTTCAAGGCGATTGAAGTTTGCCATCTGGATACTATTAGAAAGAAATACATTATTGATCAGAATCTGGAAAAATTATGAAGATAATTCTCCTGGAAATTAATTCCAAGTTCTGTAGACTAACCATATGCGTATCAAAGTTAAATTAATTATTTTATCATCAAATTTTTTACTACTTACATTAAATGATTGAAAATAAGAATATTTGATTTTCACATTTAAGTCATCATGTTGATCACTGGTGTTTTACTCTAACTGGCATCATTTATTTCCAGAGCGATCAAGTTCAAAATGAAAATCAAGTTTGAAAGATCAAATACTATTCAACAAATTTGCTCATTACATTATGAAAATTTAAACGCAAATTCGCGCGAGAATATATGACAACGAATTAGAAGCAAACGAGGAATAGAACACAGATTCGATAAAAAATTAAGATTAGTTGCCGTTTTTCAATTGTTAAGTCAACTTGATTTATAAATTCTGTTATTTAAATGTGTTTATACCCATACATACAATCGATATATAAATGGTTTCCAGTAAGGCTATGGAAGCAATCACCGACTAACTCTCAAGTATTCATGCCAAGATGTGCGCAAGCAATTATTTTAGAATTATCAATCAAATCTGGTGCAAAAATAACTCAATATTCAATCACTATATGAACGAGGGCTTTAATAATAATTATTCAAATACGGTAATTAGTTCGTCTTATTGAGACATCATACTCTTGTAATCACAGCTGCTGTAAAGTGTCATCTAATCCTGTTCAATTTTAAATACAGATCAAACGTTAGTATGATTAAAGAAGATCTCATTGCTTTATTAGAGTGATAATCATCTGTTAATGATAAGTGATGTGAACTGATATTATATCGTGCGAGCGGCGGCTGGGCGGAATTTCTTAGCAGATCTCTAATGGGTTTCAGAGAGCTTTTGCAAGCAGCAACTGACTAATTACCAGGAATTGATAAAGGCAAGCAGCAGGTTAGTTTTATGCACACCTTAACTTGCATTTAAGTTCCATATGACATTATTAGTATAGGGTGGACCTGCACAATTTTGAAGTTGAATGTTTGATCGAGGTGATCTTGAATTCACGAATGATCTTTCATATTCGACCAGATAGCCGTGTAAATAAAATGAACCCAATTTCTTTAATAGTTCATTAATTTAAGCTTCTTGCTCAGAAACGCTGCTGCAATATAAACTGAGTGAGTAATCATATTATTATCTGATGACATAACTTAAGATTTTCGATCTTTCCAAGCTAATACATTACTTCATTGTAACTTTGTTTTTTCAATATTTTAAGTGGGTGATAACAACGTTTAGGAATCAAATCGACGTCGATTCTGTAATCGTCGTCAAAATCAGGAATCAAATCAATGTATTCGTTGACGGATTTAAAACAATATATTAAGAGCCTATATAATAACAATATATTGTTTAAGTTAAAATATAATATAAAGATACAATAATAATATTATTATATTAAGAGCTCAATAAAATATTTATAGCTTAACAATATATCGCTCAAGTTATATCATATTAATTAAGTTACAATAAAAATATTGTTATATTAAGAGCTAAATTAAGCCTCACTTTATGTTTATCGATGTGTAGATGTCGCAGGTTGGGGTCGTACAATAGCCTGGCAGGGTCGATGTCTATTGGACTCTGACGTCGGCCGCGGCTGCACAAACTCCAGTCAGGGTTGATGAGACCCCAGAAATCGGGACCTGAGAAACAACAAATCAAATTTGTAACTTGCAAAGGCAAGAAATTAAATGCATGGCTTAGTGAGAGCGTTTGCACCGATAGGTTTACATAGAAAACAGTAGTGATGAATTGATCATTGCAAAGTCGACCAGGCTGGAGTTTTTTTAAAGATGAATTAGTACTTATCACATATATTGAGTGAAAATTTCCTTACGATTTTATTCTTTTATGTCGTATCAAGAAAATTGAGCAATTATAATTGCTTGTTTATTCTTCTGCAGCCATTCCATTAGAAATTCTCATAACGAATTAATCCAGAATTAACATAATGATAGGAAAATAATTTTCCAGAATGTCAAAATTCAAGCATCGTCTTAAAACACAGCAAAGCGAGCCTAATATTGGATAAATGAACGCGCCATTTAAATCACTTTCTTTGAACTCTATGCTGCACACATGTTGTGTTGTTTATTATTTCTGAGGACACTTTATGAGGTACTAACGCATAAAATTTTCATTGCAGTCTGGAGAGAAGCATAAAAATGACCTCCAACATTGTGAATCCTGGAGATTTTTTCATATTTTTCGTCTCTCCTTCATTTGTATCATCGGTAAGCATTTCAATGAGGTCACTATCATACAGTAGGCCTATGGAGCAGGACTCAAAGCCTACAAAGTTGGTACTTGCGTTTGCATCCATAGTCAAATTGGTGCAGCTAGTGTTTCAGAAGCGGTCATAAAAGAATAGTTTTACGTAGTATCACATACTCTATTCAGGTCCTCGAAAAAAGTGGGTTCTAAAAACCGTTAACGATCGTGGTTGACTCGAAATAATAAACTAAATTCTATGGCATTGCAAAACGGCTTTAAGGGGAGCGTCCACCCTAAAATAGAAAATTTTCACTTTTTCGGTTTTTATACTCATTTTAAAGCTGACATTCTGCCCTATCCAACGGTACCATTTCCATATCTGTACGTTGATTTATGATTTCACGACATTTCATGAAAGGGGGGGCGGGTGGGGGAGTTCTTCAAGTGATTAGATAGGAGCTAATTCGCTGCCCAGCACTACAAATACAGTGTTTCTATGAGGTGTAGCTCAGTGTGCCTCCGGGCTTTGTAGGGAGAGGTGCGCATGTAGTCGCTCCCACCATCCTTGAGTGGAATCAAGCTCCAGAAACGTTTAGTTTGGTATCTATGCTACATTGAGCGCCTATTGCCTGTCTCTTATACACATCTAGATGTGTATAAGAGACAGCTGCTGCCCTGCGCTGCATGACTTGTTCTGCCTGCCCTGCGCTGCATGACTTGTTCTGCCTGCCCTGCGCTGCATGACTTGTTCTATTTTCTTTCCGCTGCACGATGACGCAAAAAAGACAGCTAAAGCAACGTCTGAATAAATGTCCTAAAGTATAAAGTGACGACTTTAAAGTTAGTTCACACAACTATTTTATTCATCATTCGAGTGTAAATGATATATAGAAACAACCGCAACATTCTCATGCTAAATGAAAAGTTTTGAATTCAAATCAAAGGGTAAAGTATGTTGTATAAGATATCAGTTGTTACGTTTATTTCTTCTTAAAATAACTAATTGATTCGTCATAAACCAATTCATTAAAAACTTAAGCTCATTATTGAAAAATTATTAATTTTCCCTGCAATATTAGACCTAAGAGGAGACGAAAGTTCAAATTTATAACTATATCCCAAAACAAATTCAATTATTTGATGGAAAAAATATCTTCCAAAGAAAAAATCTTCAATTGGTTTAGTGGTGCTGTTAATGGAAAAATATCTTCGTTTACTTCCGAAGAAAAAAATTGAATTGGTTTAGTGACGCTGCTTTTGTTGCGGATTCGGCGACGAGTGTTGGCATGAACGCAGAGCGGAGACAACACGAAGAGCAAACTCTGGTGTACTGAATATTTCAGGGGACCTTCATGATTCAGACGCCAGCTTTGCGTGCTGCTATTGTGGCCATCCTTCGCTTTTTACACTTAAAAAATTGTATAATGTAAAGTTTTTGACAGAAAATTCTCCAGCTGTTATTATGTCCTGAAAATTGTTCAAAATTATCAATCAATTTCATAAGGATTACCAATTCCTCAACACTAAAATTCAAAGATCATGTTAACATATAAACTATTGATAATCGGAGAATGTAGAGGATAAGGCAGAGAGGCGCTAGTGAAACGCACACAGTTTAGTAGAGTCTAAATATTTCCTCATAACCATTCTACAAGAAAAAAATTACCTTCGACTAAAAATAACTGGCGCCTAAATATTTTCCCTACACGGGCTTCACCTAGCAAAAATATTAAACGGAAATAAAAAATAACCCAGTTGACCGGTGCTTAACATTTCGACAATATATTGGCAACCCTCATAGAAAAATATCACCTCGAAATAAAGAAAAAGTTTTCTGATACCTTTAATTTTTTTAATATAGGTTCCCCTGTTGAAATATTTTACCAATAAAAAATAACGCAGTTGACTGATGCTTAAATACTCTCTCAATATCTATAAAAAAATTAGATCATTACACACTGCAGTGAGTGACGAAGAGCGCATTTTCCAACGTCCATCCGTCCGTCCGTGACGGACGGACGGACGGACATGACGAGCACAATATCGCTTTTTTTCCATAAATGAGAAAATACGCTAAAAACTAAAAAAATACCCTGAAATAGAAATAATTATTCATCGACGATCTCATCGTGCATGATGAATTCATTGTCAAGGACATTATATCAATAGTGCAGTACGACAAGAACGGGAATGTGGTAGATTTTAAGCCTATTAAAGAGTGGAGTATCGGGGCTATGCTGACCTCGAAGTTGGGCAGCAACTGAATCATCGATCGACGGCTCTTCTACGAGTGAAAATTAGGCGGCGGGGCTGTTGATCATCGATAATCTATGGGAATTCCTTAAGTATTGAGTATTGTTTTTACGACAAGACACGTATTACTGGGTGTAATAATTCTCAAAAGCACACAAGGGTGTTTATTATGTGTTTAAAAATTCTATTGCATAGAACAATATTTTTATGAATCATTTAATAACATTAATAATTTTTCCCGTATTGCCGTACTTTCACACAAAAGTGAACTTCGACATTTGCGTACGTGTAATGGAATAATTAATGCAGAGCAGTCCATTATATCGATGATAATGACTTGATGGTGATGCAGTACCAATTAATAAAGCATTTGATCTTATCTGTATTTAGCAGTACCAGTTTCTAATTGATATATTAACTTACTCATTTAAACCAAAATTAAAGTGATATTAACTTTAATTTAGCAACTTGGAGAAACATTGCAAATTTCCTATGCAATGTTTTAATAAAGCTTCAATGCGTCAAACATTTATTACACGAAATTACCTACTGGTATTAGCAGGAAAAAAGTTAAAAACAGAAATTCTCAAGTATTTAGTATATTAATGAAACCTTTTTTCTACATAAAATACTTTGCCAGCTGCATTATAGACGCATATGAATTCTATGCGCTAGAAACTATTTCAAGAGAATAATGAGCTTAAATAATTGTCATTTATTTTGTTCGCCAGTTTTGTGAATACGAATTTCCAGCCGAAATAAGCCTGAGGTATAATAATTGGTAGATATTTGAATAAGTTAGTGATCCGTGCGCCAGCAGCCATTGATGGATATAGATTTTGAACAGTTCGTATGGAGCCATCAGCCTAACGAAGAAAAGTATGGCAATACAAACATAAGCTCGGAATTGGATGTGATGAAAATTCTCGTGACAAATTTTCACCTCGGAAAAATATATCCTGCACTCATTTAACGCGAACTGTTTGCAATAGTTGAAGTTTGGGCAAAAGAAATTGCGTTACTGGAGATTTTGCATTTATTTTTCGATGTAGCACCTGCATCCTACAGAAAGAAGAACACCTGACACCTTTGCCGAGACCACCTAGCTCATTTATTCATCCTTATTCTATAAGTATTCGACCACAGGCACGAAATTTTCTCGTTGAACTGTATTGAACTAATCATTAATTCATAGAGGTCTGCGACTTTCACACCCATGTCTTGCACAACAAAGTGTAAGCTGAACTTGAGCAGAACATGACCCGGTGGTCGTATTAGGTCCCTTGCTTTGCGGCCTTAATACGTCGTTTATCAAATCCATCGCAAGAAGAGTTCTTAAGGAGTCCATCCATTAAATGCTCATGAACATGCAACGCTCGAATGTACCGCATCAATGCGGTCTATATTCCTGATCTTGCGTGGCATTAATGTATCAGTAAGCGAAGTGAGTTTACAAAATATGAATATTTTTTAGATGTTGTTAAGACAGAGTAAGCAAGCCGGCGATCAAACTCATGTGGAACTAATAGACTGTCTATGGCATTTACTACTAAATACATCATTGACAAAAAAACCTCTACAGTAATTGAATAGAATATCTCGACTATTGTTCAAAAGTGATCAGTAGCATACTGAAAATCGAGACCTCACTTCTACGCCTCTATGTTTCGCTCCTGATGTGCCAAAAATCTATTTTGAACTGCTAACAAATAAGGAAAATGATCTCCAAGCCTTCAATTTTATTATTTTTCTCAAATATTGATAACAAAATTGCAAACAACACCCACTCACATGATTACTAATAAGTTGATATTTAAAATAAATGTGTATAAATAGAAAAAAATTATGAATGAAGATATTTATATCACGAATGCAAATTCATATAAGGTTGTGGAGCTGCCATTCAATATTGCAGCTCTGAGGCGGCGGTGTTCCCTCAATAACAGAGGGTAAGGCTTGGCATGCAGGAGCATCCATCAGCACCATTAGCCCTGGTCTGTCCTCAGCCCGCGCATTCCGCCCAGTGGATGAAATCAAACTCATGCGCTGCGAGTCTGGCAGTGCGTCAGGCATTGAACGTATTCAATAAGATATCTAAAGTATATATAGTGAAAAATGTATTAGAAATGTCCAATTAAATCCCTAGTACATTAGATATATAGTGAAAAAAGTATTA